TCGAGCAATTGTCTGAGGTTTCTAACTAAATTGAACGAGAAAAGAAAGATACGCGCAGATCCTGCTCGACCACATTATTTGTATTAAACATTCATCTGCTCTGAGCACTAAATTTAAGCCATTGTTTTGCGTTGTTATCGATGGAAATTTTGATTCACTCTCGCTCTAGAGCATTCAATTGTTTGTTCCATATCTACGTGCAGAAATTGCTTCTTATTATCTGTAATAATTTTATGCATCAGCGTGTGCCCCGACATCGGACAACATGTGAAAACGAGATAGAAAATTGAGTTTTTTTGAACTATTTTTTTAGCTTATGGGCCACCCAAGTTACCCATTGTTAAGTAAATGCTAACGAACGAAAACAGCTAGTGTTTTCATGGACGCAGTTCATTTCTTGGCCCAATTTAGCCGTTGTTTACCAGCTATCGTGTTCCAAGAATAGTGTTAAGTGGCTTTTATGAGCGACCTCACATGGTCAGGTGAAATAAACGAGCTTAACCAGGCTCGCAGGTGTGTAGTCTACGTACACTGTGTACAACACAAATATCGTGGGCTGCTCTCTGACCCCAGCCCAAAGTAGGTATCAAAAATACGATTGCTTCATCTGGAATGTCCGTCTTTGAAGTTTGAACCTCAGATACTATTCCATTTGCTACACAACGAAATGACGACGAGCTTCAGGCGGAGGAAAGTGCTTTCGAATGGTAAAGATAATCGTCGTAAACGAATCGTGGAGAGCTAAAAAGGAAAGTGAGTATTTGCAAAAACTAACATGGCCTGTTGGCCAAAAAGTCTCGTACAATGGCCAGTTATAGATGGCAACTGAGAGTGATCCTTGTATACATTCAAGTAAACTTACTATGTATTGGAGTATCAAAGCTGATCTCCAATACATTCGTAACCTCTAGTGTGCAATGACTATTATAGTTTTCTGCTTTTTGCCGTGGTCATCATTTGTCATTTGATGGATCCTAAAAATGGTGTCCACTTCACAACAGCGCTGCATCACTGATAGATAGAGACGCTGGTAAAGTTGTTCATTCGGGGAACCTATAAGTAACGGTAATTGTTGTTAAAACCTAGCCATTTGAGTGCGCGAAATAAGCGTAATTGCTTCAATGACAACCCGTAAAAATATGGGTGGGTAGGTCGTTATACATATGCAGAAATACGAAATGTCTAGAGCGCTTTCAAGCTAAATGAATAATGAAATATATGCGCTCTTGTTGGAATGTTTAAATTGAACTTTATTTTTTTAAAAACGTCTTTTATAATATGAGTCTTCTTTCAGAGCTGACCTGATTTCGATCGATGAATATCTTTCTCATGGGCATAACGTTTAATCTCAGTAAACACGGTTTTTCGGTAACTCTATTTCACTCGAACATTACATCGGATCAATTGAGCCTTGATGGCCTATAGCGGGAGTACTTTTCAGATTGCTCGTCGCATACTTCGTTCTAGCCACATGTATGCATTTGTGCATGTACATACAATTCTAACTACTATTCAGATCGCACGATAAATCATAATCCGACTTTTCTTCAGGTGTATGCTTATTTTCCATCAGATCAATTTATCAGACGGCTGTCTAGCGTATAAGTAAGGCACGACAATGCGACTTTCGCTCAAATTACCCGCAGTACAAAACAGAGAATTTTGTTCCGTTCGGCAAAAGGGGTTCATTTCGCGTAACGAATGTGAGCAGCTTGTAGTTTTCTAGGTACATATCGTATTCAAAAATTTCCCGCGAAACCTCGAACCAGCAGCGCCACCTCAAATAGATAGAGTAGAGAAATTTAATCAAATAGACCAATTGGATTGCATCTAGGCAAAGTATCTTGAACAGCTTTTGACCTATACGTTGCGTGGTCATTTTGATGAGAGGATTTCTCTTTCCAATACGCAAATATAAATCCGTTAACGTCGAATCCCCAGTTCCTGTCTGTAATAGACCTAGACGACACTTTGGAAAAAATAAAGCGATAATCAAGAGCTGTCCACGAGTCATTATTATATCTACACGCGGCCAAATGACGACTGACGGCTAAATTGCAACTACAAAAGTACTGCGTAAGATGTCTAAGGATATAATAACAGAGACATAACGCACAATGGTTGACTGCTGTTAGCTTTTTGTTGCCTTCGGCAAGCGTTTCGTCTCTGGCAAGAAGCCCCAAAGGCAAATGCCCTGAACACAATAGAACACACATTCACGTAACACTTAACAACAAACTTGAGACGAACAGGAGACTTTTCGTGGGAGTATTCCGGTGCGGTTCCAAAAAAAAAAAAAAGCGAAAAAATGCCCCGCCTGACGTTTCTGTCAGCAGACTAAGTGACCGTTCGGTCATTCTACTTGGTGGGCAGAAAGCTGATGGCGCACAGTATAGCGTTCTTAGTGCTCGAATATTTCGCTTATTATTTGAGTAGGCCAGATAAAACAAATGTTGTGGAAACTTTACACACAGATTACAATTGGCGTACCTAAATTTTCCATAGAAACTGTCATTTCCTAGCACAGCCGATACACGTGGTTTGTATTTTTTTAGCTTTGGAGAATTGGATATACCCAATGACCGCTTCTTCAATTCAGAACGAAGACGTCTTCATTCGAAGGAACATTTTTCAACCTGCGGTTGCTAGCGTCTTCTAACCACTAACTTATTTAGCCTTCAAATATATCTCGTCGAAATTAAGCGTATAGCTCACTCGCAAGAGGATCTCGAATCTTCGGGACAGTGTTAAACTGTATTAGAATTACATACGCAACATTATTATTTTGTGAGGCTAGGAGCTTGAATAGAACTTCTTCCAAACAATTAATAACATTTACAAACTATGGAAAGATTACTGATATAGATATCCGTAATCATGCGATCCTAATTAAACACGTTATCTATCAATTTTACAGTAAAATAACATAAATAATACCTTTGCTACGATTTTGGAATAGTAATCTGGCTAACTCTGGATTTTCTCAACCGTTTTATACAAATCATCTTTCGATCTCATAGAAATCATATACTTCGGGTAACAAAGAGCCTCGTTATATCTGTAGGATGCGTCCATAGCAGACATATCAAATTATTGAAAGACATAGTTCAAATCCGAAAACCTGAAAGACACGACATCGTTGATACGGTAGTATGCAACGGGAATTTCAATTTGGAGATTTTTCAGATTATAGTGATATACTTTTTAAGATGGCACTCTTTGGCTGAGACGGCATTGACGGCAGCAGAAGAGCTAGCTTCGACATTAGAAGTTAAGAACGTTTCAGTAATGCAATAAAATTTAGCTATGACTGGGAAAACTTTGGTTTTACAAATTAAAAATGGATAATCTTATTAATATATATATATATATATATATATATTATGGTCGTTAACAAAAAAAGGTATATGAGTGCAGCTGACGATAAATTGCCCCGAAAGGGGAAGATTTGCCGATCGTGCAATTGCCGCAATGGTCATAAGTCAAAGCCCAATTTCGATGTTCAGGCAGGTTAACTCATAACCGTCCGTCGATTTATGTTTTCCTAAATTTTCGTTAATATTAAACAGATAACAATTTCGACCAGATCATTCGGCATAAAGCTAAAAATCTCTCAGTACTAATTGCTAACGATGTGATACGATGAAAATTGCCCCATAGGGGACCTGCGCCGGCAACCACACCGACAAACAACGTTGGCGTCAGTATCACACCTTCGTAAAGCGAGAATCGTACAATCCACATTGGGCCCGCGGACTCACTGGTAGCAATGGTATAGACCGATGTTTTTAATTATTAGACCATAATAACGCCTGGCATTGAGCCCATATCGATATTAATCTAACTATAACCCACTATAGTTAAGCGAACACGATTTTGCTGCAGTATCAGCAAAGCGTCATTTAGAGAACACTTTTGTTTATAACGTATTTACCAAGATAAAACGTTTATATAAGGTACACTGGCACACATGAACATTTATTACCATAAATGAATAAATAAGCAATATTATCGATGTTAGTGGATCTGCTATGGAAGAAATTGAACTTGAACGGAGCTCTGTTATTGGTAGAACGTAATGAAAAATGGATGATGTATCTGTGATTGATGAATATGTACTTTTAACGGAGCTATAAATTTATTTTTCCTTCCTCACGTTGTGTACTATGTTTTGTTTCGTCGCATTTTTCTGCTTGAGGCAAGACAGGGGCTTTAGGAAGCCGAAGCGGGTGCCAGTAACTTTACGTAATGCCGGTTGGTGGCGCTGATGGTGGAATGAATCTTTTTGAGTGTATTCATTACACAGCGAACCATTTGTAGTTTTCTGCTCGTCCAGTCAATTTCCGTGTCCTTTACCTCGTCGTGCGCTTCGATCAATGTTACGATGCTTTCTAAGTAACGAATTATGTGGTCGTATGCTCGCTGATGCAGGTGTATAATGGTGCTTAATGGTCATAAATAATCTGTAATCTACCTCTGAGAATCGTCTTCGGCCTTCCGTAAAGCGTGCGCATCCTATGTTTAATAACAACACAAGAAAGATGCATTGACATATCAACAGTTACTCGTATTCCATTAGAACATTAACGCTACTTACTTAACGTCAACCTTTGTTACGGCACAAATAATTTCCAGTAAACGTCTACACGACCATATTGACTAAGTAGACACGCAGTAATAGAATGACGCCAGAAATGTTTTTATTTCTTAGTTAAACCGTTAGATTTAACGGCTAGATTGAAAGGGATGCACTCAAACTTGGTCTATTATATACTTCAAAGCAGAGTAATGCTCGTAACGTAGACACTACGCTGGTTGACAGCGTTATCTCGAAGAATTCTAGCTTTTCACCGTCATTCTAGGATATGCGTATCAAATACATACGTGTACACTAACGTGTTTGAGAGTCTCGATATCGATGCGGTCTTCTAGCTTTTGCAGGTATCCTTGACAAGTACTTCACGAATAGATCTGCTAAACAATTGTAATTAAATGTAAACTTTTAGAACTTGATTTATTCTAGTCTAGAACAGGATAACCGCTATGAAGTTTATAGCGTATAATTATAATTAGAAGTAGTAGAAACAGGCTTACTCAATACTATTTTCCACCTAAATAACATGCTCTTTCGAGCTCATCCAGGGTTTCCTTGAGCCATTTTTAACTTTTTGGTAAGCTTATGGCTTTTAGCAGTATGCCGAATAAATTCGCTTACCTGCTTAATTCTGTGGGTGTGGCACTGGAAAAAACGCGAAAAAAGACACACTCTCCCCTTCTCTCTCGCTCTCTACCTATCTGTTGTGGAGATTTTAATACGGCTTACTGCAGCCGAAAGCTGCTATCATTTTTTAACACATTCTGTAACGCCTCTGAGGATAAACATCTTCAGCAGGTTTGTAGAAAAAGATACACAAACGCTAAGCGTTTGTGATGTCTGTAGTGGGCCAAAAATAATATTATAAAAAAATCGTGTTTTTACTTAGACAGAAGACGCCCCTTATCCTATGAAACCTTTCAAGTTACAATTCAATTCAACGAACTTTCCGGGCGTTTTCTCATGCAATTTGCATGATGGGTGCAGTTCAGCGGAATGTATTTACTTTTATTATTATTTAAGTAAATCACAAACATATACTACATAACGATGTTTTGTATAAAAATATTATCCGAAGTAATATATTGTGTGGGAATGGGTAAGGCGCTAGGTTCCCCTTACAAAGCCCATCAAGAACTCAAGAAGCGTAATATTGATCACACTATGCCCCGTACCTTATACACATGCATATTTTATTTGGTTCCTGAAAATTCGGAATTACATGTTGTTTAACTTGTTGCAGATAGTAGAAGCCACGCACCAGGCGCTTGACTATAGTTCGGCGATTTGAGTGATCTAGTGCCATTCATGCGCGGTCTTACACACCTTCAGACTTGTAGACCACGGCGTCTAGTTCCGTGAATGTGGCCTCCCGAATAGCTAGGCGTTCATTAAAGGTGTAAGCGAAATGTAAAATTGTCGTTTTTACTCCTTGATAAACAGGGGCGGGTACGAACAGGGTAAAAAGACAACTAGCTGATTTCGTGCCGAGCGGTGGAGTCAAGAAACATGCTTCAACACCCAGCTTTGAGCTAATTTACGTACTGCAAGTTTACAAGAAGGCCGCCCTTCTATATGATCTCTGTGCCGTGGCTTTTTTTGCAGTCGAATAGCCAGTGAGCACTAGTGACTAAGAGGAGATGGAGATTGTTAATAGTTGATATCGTTAGCATTACGTTTTTATGTCTCTCTGTGACGGCAACGGAGAACATCTACCATTGAATGAGAGAAGGGTTTTTACACAGGGAAAATTGCCTATGTAGTCGAGCAGCGATTTTGCGATAGAGATAGCGTTTTGAGAAGCTTCTAAACTTCATCGTTACTGTTTTTATCAAATTCTCAGCTAAGCCGAATTCTACTGGGATTACATGCAGCTTAGCTACCGATTACTAATCTTGGGAGCGTCTGATTTTACACGTAGCTGTCTGCGTATAAAATTACGTTCACGAGGGTTCTTGGTCTTTGGATTTCAGCTAGCAAATCCTCCAAAGGTGCCGAGCACAGTAGAGGTTTGAGGCCATTGTCCTGCGCGAAGTTTGTTGTTGGAGGGAAAGGGAAAACTTTCCCTAAGCCATCATCGATTCTTATCTGGTTTTCTTAAAGGGCAGCGATTATATGCCTCAGCAATTTTCTGGATACTATTCCTCTAGCCAAAAACCTCAAAACGATGGCACCAAATCGAAAGTCGTTTTGAAGTCCACAAGGTCAGTGTGTAGCAGCGCGCCCGTCTAGACTGTGCGTTTTCGATATCAGTTAATAGAAGCCTACATGTCATCAAGGCTTGTTCGTCACACCTATTTACATGAAAGGTACAGCCTTAACTGGCAAGGACATTTAAGATTAGAAATCACTTTATTAGCAATTAAAACCGAGATTCCTTCTAAATTCCTAGATGCGACATATATTCATTAAACTATACTAAATGAAAAACATTACGGCCTAGAATAAGGCGCTTTCAAGTAACGAAGTCCACGTTAGGTCGAGCAAATTTTGCGGAATCGAAATTGAGCCTCACCTGCTGCTGGCAAATATGAGTTCTCTTCACACTGCATCAGCACTTCTGCAAGCAGAGCTCGTAAAAGAAGAATCATCCATAGTTAGAATATTTATAATAAAACAAGTGTAAGTATACTATAGCTAGTCAAAATCGTCATTTGTAAGTGTGTCACGTTTTCTACAAAATCTCGCTTAGCATAGCATCAACATAATCTTCCTTTTCACAAAGGAGTTATCTACTTCTAGACATAAATCCTTTTTTTTTTTTTAAATCATTTTAAGGGTATACTAGTATAGTACATTTATAGACCTAGCGGTCTAAAATAAATGATGTTGACCTATTTTGGGTCTGCATATTGCAATTTTGGGTTCGAATAGGCCACAGGTCGCTGCTTCAAGTCTCGTCAACGACACATACGATACATAGGAAGTTAATTATATCTCCGTTTTTTATCCAATCGATGCTGTTGGCTTTTGCACCCCGTCATTGACTGACTTGAGAGAATTTTCAACCTACACCTTGCTCACACGGTTCTACTACAGAGAAGATGATTCCGAATCAACCGATTCTATACTAATTTTCTCTAAAATCTTCTTTAGTTCATTTAAGATCTGTGAGACTTAGATATGGTCTTTTATCTACAATAACAAGTGCCTGCAGTGTCGATAAGTCTTCCCTTCAATGGCCGAACGTTTCGCAAGAAAACTGTTGACTGAAGTCCTCACTATCTGTTATCTATAATATGTTTATATATAACGCCACACTGACCAACATAAAAAAAATCTGTTTGTTGATCCTACTCACTTGAACATTTCTGCTGCCCAAATGGCGTCATCGACGAGATCAAAACAAATGTATATTCCACTGAAGTCTAGAAACGTTTGGCATGACGGTCTTGAAATATCTTCAGCAGATGTGTCTCGTTTGTCGCTACCTACAGCGACTTCATACAACAGGCACACAAATCAAATTAAATATGAAACTAGAATCTAGAAGTCGATAAGAAAGTGTTAAAAACCATCACTCTAGGAAAATCATTATAGCGAGAGATGGCGACTCATGTAATTAGTAAAAAGTCAAAACGTATTGTGATGCGTGGAGAAAATGCAGTTCCTAATAATGGTAAAGCAAGCTTGTATCATGTTCGCTGAGGTATCGGAATCTCTAAGATTGGCAACGGCTGCCGATTATGTAATAGCGTAAGATCATTGTAATTGGATTTGCTTTTGTTTCAAAGGACGTATTTTTAGGATGTAACTTACCGTAAACGTGCGTTTCCAATCGTCGACAGAACCTGGGTTTCAGAGTCAGTCCTGAATAGGGAGTAGCCTTTCGTAGAATGTTGGACATGGCAAAAACTCATCAACCAGAAGCAATGTCCCAGTGAGAAAGCTGTTGGCCATTTAGTTTCTCTAGGATCTTTCTAATGAGCTAATTTTCGACCGTCGCGAGATAAGCTAAACTGTTATACGTTAATAAGTACTCTTATTCGAACTTACTTAAATCGACCAGCTGCCAACTGAAACGAAGCCTGTTAATAGAGATCTTGTACTTCATATATATTAAATCAACAAATCTGCAAAAACTCATATGAAAGTAGAAATTGAACCAGGTCTGAAATCGAGAGTAGAAAAGCCAATGTGCCATCAGAACAAATGAAAGCAGTCGGGTAAATAAAAGTCAGTAGAATCGTTAGAAAAAAGCTTTAATTAATAAACGCTATGACTGTTAGACGCTACCAGTATACCAATACCAACCGACATGGCTGTTCGAAAAATGATCGGACAAGCAATGTTCTGGCCGAAAATTGGTCACTGGTCATCAATAGTTTTACGTCGACATATTGAGATGAAAAAACCTAATTGAAATGGGCTACCATATTGACCATTGTTAAAACGTCGATTCCTATCCTACATCTAGGATGAACTTTCCGCTTTCTAAGAACTCAAATTTTATTGGCCTACACTCGTAACTAATAATGCGTTCGTTTAATCTGCTCCACTTATAGAAAAAAGTGACGTGCAACTTGATTAACTTTGCCAGTTACATACATGTTCACACGAACTCTTGGAGTTGCCTCGTTGGGGATCAGTACACGTATCGATACATAATATGTGTCTATAGAGCACGGAAGTTCGCTGAAAAGCTTGGGTCACTGTCTTCTGGGATGCTTTCAGTGTAACCCAGACTGATAATTTTTCCAACGATATTGGAAATACGAGCGATTATTGCATGGACCTGTTGCTATGCCTCGAAGTCCAGACGAAACTTCTCTCAACCGAACAGCGATACTCCACCGTCCCCAGTTTACAACCCAGGTAAATTTCAGAGGACCTAAGTTATTTCAATCAGTATGTTTAAGCAGGTAGTTGTCCTGTCTGGAAGAGTTGATTTTTTACAATTTGAGTATCTTAGCCTGCGCGGTTTTCGAGAGGCCTAATGATTCGCACAAAGTGAAACTGGCCACAGACGTTTGATCTTAGTCGCCAAAGCACGGCCTGCGATCTTCAGAATAGAGCAAGTAAAATGATTGGCTGCTTATGAAGTTCACTTTTGACAAAGTATATCGAACATTTTTTAAAAAATATTTTTCCAAATTCACCCTTCGCACATACACATTCATAGAAATTTTTGAAAGTCCCATAGGTACAGTGTTACCAAGCATGATTGCTGTTTATGGCTAGTGAAGTAAACGAAGAAGCATTCAACACGCACGGTGCTTTGGAGAATTTTGGTCGATAACAGCGGGCAGAAGCTATTGGTTTAGCGCGCAAATATTATAAATTGTCTCGCGTACAATATAGGTATGGGTAAATGCTATTTAAAGGCCATGGCGGCTCGCGACCTAAGCGTAACAAGGCTTATAATTACAAAGCAAGCTGCACAACTACGTAGAGCGAGTATCCTATATATGTGGGTACTCTATGATGATACTGTGCGGCGTTAAAACTCTGTGCTAAAATGTAAATAGCCGAACAAGACGACGCGAGATTAAAAGAAATCATCGTCCAACTGGCTGATGTAAGCCCAGTAAAACCATCAGACGCAACCAATCTTACTGGCACAAAGCATTCCCTTTTCCAGTCAGCTCGCTCGCTCTTCAGATTTATAAGACGTTAGCAACTTTATAGTCCAGCTAATGTGATGTAAGATACGAATTAATTGGCCGTCATGAAAGAGCAGGCAAAGCTTGCCTTCGAGGGAAATAGTCCTAAATATTGCCTAGTTTTGCCAATAACAGTTGAAGCCAATAAAAGCTGATAAAAGTAAATTTGTCAAAAGGCACTGGGTATTTGTTCAAGCGTTACATTAGCTAAAAATTAGCAATTAGCTAAAAATAGAAAAAAAAAAAATGCTACTGGAATAATAACAATTGTACTTGCTATTACTAATGTAGGAAATCCAAGACAAATTCATTTTACAACTAATTACACTATTGCCCCTTTTTACCGTAATGTTTATAAGCCAATTCACAGTGTTGTTAAGTTAGAGAAAAAATTACAGTCGATCTCATCGATTGGCTTAGTTCTAGTGTAATAGAAATCGTACTCTGATGCTACGGGAAGCACGCTATAGAAGTGAAGTGAAATAGGGGTCTTTAGATTGTTTTGGGTCAGAGTGTCGTTCTCAATCACAGCCTCGTATGCCATCAACCCGGTATTCAATTAGTCTTTTATTGACCCAGCTCACTGATACAATCTGATCAACGAAATTCTTTACTACATAAACAGCTTGCGGTTCTTCTCAGTAGCGGTCTATGCACACTTCATACTGAGGACATTTAAGAACCTCGGAATTGACGTTCACGACTGCTGAGCCCCGTAGAGTGATAGCCTTGTGAATTAAGCTCGAATTAGGATCTCAGCTGTTCGGCAACAAAATTGAAATGATTTGTGTTATTACTGCAACTTTCTAAAATTATATTTATACAAAAATAACAGCAACAACAGTGCCGAGTTAAGGTCATAGCAGTAGTTCTTGTTAGGGAAACGTATTGTGAGACCCATAATTGTTTAGATATTGCAGCTTGACAAAAAAATTTGCTACGTAAATAGTGGACTAATTATTTTAAACTGTTTGATCTTGTATAAGACGCACTGGTCCTTCAAAACGAACCTGTGATATTTTTGTTCATTTATAATTCAATACGATTTAAAAAATCTACACGCACAATAAGATAAAAAGCGCATAAAACTAGGAATAAAGTAACACATTATTAAAGTAACAAAGAAAGGAGTAATATTAACTTAAACAGGGGATCACAGAACTATATGGGACAGATCCTATATGGACTGCCCCGTTTTTCTAACAAAACATCGACTGCAAAATACGTACTAACGTTTTTCAAAATCCTGGCCAGCCAGTTGATGTAATGTAATTAAAGAATATATATATCACACACATCTAAGGTTGCTTTTGCATCAGATTGTGATGACTGCATTTTCAGAGCGCAATGCTAACCAAAAGCAATATAATTTTATCCCGTAGAATCATATACATTGGACAGCTTCCCTCAGCCTTTAATGGCGAATGTTCATGAAGACGCAACCGATATCACCTCTCTTGCCTCGTTTTGAAGGCATTACATTAGGTAATTGTGCGTACGTATAATAGAACAGGCTCGAGACTATGCAGAAAAACAGCGCCAATATTTCAAAAAAGGATTGTTTGTTTGAGAGGCAGGCGTAGATTTAGCGGTTGTCAAGAGATCGTGACTACGACAACTTGCGGTTGTGCAAGGAAGTGGAAGAGCTGATGGTAGACCACACGAACTCGCTTCAACATATGTACATTCGCGCTGTATATTTGATGGATTTCAAAAGGCTACATTAGCAGTATATTCCACCTAATGTGCAAAGTTGTACCGTGCTTAACGTACGTACTCCTTGGAAGCGCAGAAGAGGATTAAATCTTAACACGGTACTAGTAGTTCCTTTTGCCCTAAGAGTAGTCTCTCCCAATGAGCTTCGATAATTTCAAAATTGAAAATTGTCAAAGATGATAGGAGGTTAACATTCTATTTGCTACAAAACTAAACATAAATCAAATGGACCATTAGCATCATCCTGCCGCAGAGGTATTTTGGGTCTGTGATATCTTAACATTGTTGAAAGCTTCGTCGACCATTTGATTTGATGGAACGGCTCTCTTTTGTAGCTCCCACTTTGATGATCCTCAGCGGCTTCATAGGTCTATTTCAGCCGGAGCTGGATGTTTGCTTTGACGTGTACGTATTGACTGCCTCTTTATATTTGGTCTGCGAGTAATCGAGTTATAAACGCCGTTTGTCACACCGTTCATTGTGATGGGATTTCTGCGCACTAACAGGACGTCCTAATATCATCATCAAATATTTTCAATCTAGAGAACACGATTACTTTTACAGTAATTTATTGTTCGATGAGTGACCCTTTGCTTTGCGTTTTACGCTGAGTCTTTGTACCGATGTTTTAATATTGTCTGATGGACCTGCTATGGTAGAAGACCCTATATGATCAACCTAGAAATGACCAATCTAAAAGAACGCGCTCGAAAAAATATTACAATATTTACCGCTTTTCCGCTGCATTTTCGCTGAACGACAAAAGCGTTTACAGTCCGATAAGGGCAAGGTGTTTTGCTTCCTAGAAGAAAGCAATGTGCTGTGAACCTGCCCGTACGAACCATGACAAAAGCGTCTGAAGTGCTTCCGCAGTTCTCCCTTTCGTGGCACAGGCTGGTAATCAAGTGAGGTCATCAGATCATCATAGTGTCATTCCTGTAGGAGAACTATTTCTCCCCGGAGATCTTGTTACGGACTATACATCTCCAATAGCTACCCTATCGCAAAGAGTACGCTGTTTCTACAAAGACATCAGTAGCTTGACAAAAACGACTCAATTCGGTTATGCTGTCCGGATAAATTCGCCGCCTTATATGACCATCATAATATCTAAAATAATATCTGAAAGTAGCATTTACGATATCTAAGAGCTGGAGTAATTTCAATTGACCTCTTCGCACAGAATAATTAATGGCCCATATCGCCCTACCTTAAATTACCGACATTGATCGGTTTTTTAATGAGTAAATTGTTGTTTTTTTGGACATGAGATGAAGTAGTCCAGCTCAGCATACTGGCATGTTTTTCCGCGGCAAAGGTAGGTTTCGAATGAATATCGGCACATATAGCCCCACCATCCCAACACATATTATGGACTTCTTTCATACGCGCGAATTCAATAAAAATGGAAAATCTATTCAATAAAATGAATGAAAAATATTTTTCTTCGATTTGCTTTTGTGCATCGAATAAATATGATATAATATATTACAAGAAAATACATAGGTAACAGGACACTGATATATGGACTTCTGATAGATACGCGGATACATGGAGATACGATCAGAAGTTGTTGAAAATCACACTAGATTCATGTACGTTCGTACCTATTACTATTTCTGTTCGAATCACCTCCTCTCCTTTAAAAAAATGCGATAAATGAGGTAGTCTCAAACGCTACGGCTCGGACCTGCTCCGTATTGGTAAGTAGGCTGGTCGACTGAATATCGCGGATCAGGTCACAACGATAACGAGGCAGGACTATCTGTCGCACAGAGTTGTAGCGTTAAAGTAGCACCATTTAGCAGCGTCAGCTATCGGGCCGGCAATTAACAAGCCAACCAAACAGGCAATAGCTATAAGCAAAGTTTCTCAAAATCGACAGCGAGAACTACCGCTTGGCGGGTCCGACTTGTGCTACCATTGAATGCTAGCAACAGCTATTGGCAACTAGGCCGGAACAAAACACACTGGCTACTCTGAAATGACATCCGTCTCTGCCCAGTGATCTCATTGGTTGGATACAGAATAATGTTGAAATAGCATTCGATGGTAATGCGACAACGACCGACTGTTTCTTTGGTCATTGGGCATTGTTTTTCTGTTGTCTTTCCCCTTAACGTTCGTAGAAGGGAATCGCGCGAACCGGCGGAAAATGTAAAATTAGCACGCACCCGTTTTTGTGAGAATCGAACGTTGTTGTGAACGCGAATCGCCTATTGAGCAAACACGCACGTTGAGAATGAAACGTAGTGAAAGGAAAAAAACTCTATGTGAAAAATCGAAAGGGGGCTATTATTTTTTCAAGCTAACCACGGAAGTAATGTTTACCCACGCTTGCAATAAACAAATAATTATTCAAAAACTCTTTGGAAAGTCACTTTGCAGGTCACACTAGAAGAACTACATCGGGTTTTACGTCTCTGCTATTGGTTTGATTAGGGAGTGCTTCAGATGGTCCCCGACACGAAATTAAGTCTATCTATGCATAATTTCCAATCTGTATTATCTCAAGAGTTTTTGTTTAAATTTTAAGTAATCATATACATACTACGCGTTGTGCCCAGTTTTGCTATCTCACACGCGCACAAACAGAATGCCGCTTTTATGATTGTTTTTTTTTCTATTTTTAACACTTAATTAGTCATCCAATGTGAGCAACTGTTTGGAATCGCCTACTCTTAGCATCAAGGGCTAACGTTATCCGTTAGGGGTCCTAACCGACGCAGTGACGGCGTAGCAGCCATACATGCATGATGAATTTTGTTAGGTTTCTTTAGAAACAGAGATAGGTAAATGCTGCAGACGAGCATCGAGAATGGCTTAAGAAGGTGTCACCTGTAAAACCAATGAAAACATCTGTAGTGAACTGATAGCAAATATTTTAGAGGATCACAGATAGAACCGGAAATTCACTGTGACATATATACTGTTACTTGCATTAACTAGCCTAAAATTAGCAAAGGATTGAATAAGATGCGTTAACGCCTTTGCACCTCAACCGTATCTTGGGGTGCGGCATGGTCTGAATGACTAATACGCATATTGCTAAGCGCATTGTCATTCAGAAAATTCCGCGTTAGCAAACTATATGTTGTTATCATGCAGTTTCATAGGTTCACCGGAGAAAGATCCCAGATAAATCCACCCAGACCCACAAGTCGACTAGCCAACAGTCAACAGAAAGAAACATGGCGTATAGCACATTGGATCGGGTTATCAATGTAAGTTTGCGCTTGACGAGTTTCAGGGGCCCGATGAATCCTGTAATAAAGTTTCATGGTTCAGATTCGGGGTGATCTAACATACAGGAGGTAGAGGCCAAGAATTGAAAAAATCCGAACGTGCTGATAATGTCAGATATATTTCCCATTATTTGTTTAGATAGTAGAAGTTATATAAACCTTATATGTATAGTCACATTCATTAGATCGAACTGTCTCACAGTTAACCTATCATTGACAACTCTACAATGGCAATTGTTTGCGCTGCCAAGTTGGCTATCCAAAAATTTACTTAAATAATAAATAATTCTAAATAAATATAAATAATTTTTAAACATGTGTGATGAAAAACAGGCACTGTAGATCTTATTATTGCTACACGTACACTATATACAATGCTCTAAATATGCAATTCTAAGTCTAGAAGCACTTCGAATTTTACTACAGTGAGCTCACTCAGGTTGTTGTCCATTGTACAGGTTTGGAGGCTTAGAGACTATGCATCGTGTTCTGTATCTGCGAAGTCGAGATGGGGTCTGAATCGTCCAGTCAAATATTTGAAATCACGTCGCTCACCTAAATGATCTTATCGCCTATTCTCCATGTCCTTTCACCGCTCTATCCAGAAAAATTGACAAGGCATCGTTTAGACTTACGATTCTGGCAAAGATCAAGCTAGACTTCCGTGACGCTCGTGCGTTTTTCTGATACGCCAACCGTCGGGTAGAGGGCACACGTCCATTGACAGAGCGAATAATACTTCAGCCGACTATTTCGCCCCACCGAATCATCTGTTCAGTACCATACATTAACTTGTGCAGTTGTCAACAATTATAGTTCGTGGACACACGAATTTGTCTCTGAATCTCATATATTTGAACTACTGATCTAAAGAACTAAATTAAACACCCTTAATTATCCCGCGTATATTCATTTTTAAATTTAATTTCCTAAAACCCTGAGTCTCATTTTTAGGAGATTCTTAAGAACGGTAACGTTATTCCAGATTATCCGTCAAGTATCGCCATATTCGTATTCACCAAATGTTGTTAGACAAAATACAAAATCGCCTGTTGCATATTTGAATGAGGCTCAGTGTGCCATATATAGGCTTATCGTTGCGAAAGTCTGGTCCGCCCCCTGTGTGGCTTTGCTGCGTAATTATTGACTCGATGACTGAGTCACACACATAAACGGTCGAAACAGAGGGCCGCTTAGGTAACTGTCTAAACTGGATATCCACTCATTTACTTTACGATGGCCTTCAGCCCACCTATATTGGATGGTCGTTTCACGTAGAAGTTAGGTCTTAGACAAGCGGCCTTCTCTGGCGTTCCTTAAAACTGGCTTTTGTACTTAAAATTGAATTAACATACGCAGATGAATTGAAGATTTTACGCCATCTTTTAGGTGGCAGAATAACGTTCGTGTGCAGTTTTTTTAATCATCAATGTGCACATTTGAATAGAACCCTTCCGAACGCATTACCGAAATAACAATGCGATGCTTTTTATCGTATCTACTGTACCTTCGCACACAAGTGTTCACAGCATTTTACTATAATTAACATATCTGCCAACTAATTAAATCATGCACAACGCTTGTTTCTAGATAGATTTTATCGTATGTTTAAAACACAAGTCCATCGATGTTACTAATTTACTATTTTATTTTCTATTCGGGACATAATTCGATTGATGCGCCCTCTATCTAAATTGTTAGTTGACAAGGAAAATGTTCACAACTATACAGAACAAGACTTACAGGATGAAAAAAATAAAAATTAAAAAAATAGCATAGATCTTGGAACGATTGTGAGAAATACGAATCAAATTGAAACTGAACAGCTTTAAAGAGTATGCGCTGCCAGTACGTGGGTGGTGCGAACCTTTTTAATAACGAAAATTGGAAAGGAGGACAAAAACGCATTACCTCAATCAAGAAAGTCTTTTTTTTCACAAATGCAGACCTTAGGGGGCTTTGTCGGCCAAAACTGCCATTTTACATGTTACAAAATTAGATCTCGAAAGTGTAAGCACTGACAAAAAGTGGGTTTCCTGTTGATTGACTCCAGGCCAGTTGAAAATCTGCGTGGTGTATTCCACGCGCAATTTGTGAAATTTTAATTAACAAAAAGCCCGCTTGGAGCGTACCACCGCCACAGGCGAGGCATGGTTCAATATCTATGGCCAGCCGCAGAGGGACCAGGCGAGAAAATCGCATCGCCCGGGCTAAAAATCGAGATTTGTGGTAGTGTCGAGTCGGTTTGAGCTAGTACTGAGTAGGTTTTAAGGTGCTGATAGTACTTGTAGTGGATATAAGGGGCATCAGCTGCTATTCGTCGAATATAAAACAATGCATGCACTTCGTTATTTCAAGCTCCTTAGAAGACTCACGAACCGGTGCTACGGCAATCGAAAGCACTCAGTCTGCTTACCTGGCGACGACGGCAGACCTCACTTTCCCGCTTCAAGCCTGTGTGGTTACAGGATGTTGCATGCCTTAAAGAGGGCTACTAGTGGGCCGGTGTACCTCATTATAAATTTTCTTCGAAAAACCATAGATAGAGAAACTACATATGGGAACGCGAATGGAAGGTGTACGGCTACATAATGCGGTACATTTGCTTAATTACATATAATTAGACACTATACAGTACTTGTCGTAATGTCTTACAAATTCCTCTTTGTATAAATAACCTTTCAGCCTTGCTGCTTATTACGCACTGAATTCTGACTATTTGATATACCGAGGTTTGTATGCGCAGATCGAGCTTATCTTCAGCTGTGACTTAGCCGAGCGTATGGAGACGGGTTTTTGGTTTGTTAGCGTAAATAAGAAGACCACATTTTCGCACATGATCGGGGTTGACTCTCACACTTTCCTAACGTCGAATAATATGCCAATTCTATTTACTGTGTACGCGTTTCTCACTGCAAACGAACGTATGTTCATCTTGATTGACTGGCTTGTAAATCGATCTGACCGACATCATAGAGGTGAGGTTTGTCAGGGATACGATGTCGAGTTTCTACACTTAAATTGCGCTGTGTACGTGCTATATGAAGACGCTTCCGAATCACAAACGTCTGCATTGATAAAAAGACGAACGTTTAAGCTTTAATGGTAAAAGACAAATAGGTTTCCCAAACAACACATGAGTTACTGCAGGGCGCCGTATGCTGATGCAAGTCGGAATCGACCTATATTTGGGTGTTACTAAGATTCAAACTGCAATGTCTGATTGCTTCATTATGCATGCTCTATTACGAACATCGAAATATAACGGAAGAGCTTCGAAAAATTTGCGTAGGGCAACCTGTAGGGGACTTCGTACCCTGTTATGGCAATATTGTTATGGACCATTTCGGGTCCTGCACACGAAGAGGAACGAAGCAAAAATGGCGCGCTACAATTGCCTTCAAATTACTAATTACAATAGGCAATGTTTCTAGCTTCATTTTCAAGGATAACAAATGTATAAGCCAAATCTCGCCATGCGACGCGCTGGAGAGCTTAAGTGATCTTTTGTCCATTGACCTGTTAAATCCGACCACAATTTGTCTACGCGCTTTGTCGGAAAAAGACGAACTCCTTTGAAACTCTTACTACTTATGTCTGATGATTGACGCGAGCGGCAACACAAAGTGCTGAGCTATAAAAAAAAAAAAAGACGCGTGGTATTACCCTGTAACTACATTGTGTTACAGTAATATTTAATTGGCTAACTGCTTGAGGACGCAGCTGCTTATACCAGCATTCTGCCTAGTCACGTGATCGTATGCACTACTCAAAGGTAAAATCCAGCTGCGCTTTCCCTCCGTTGGAGGGATCACTTTCGAGGGCCTTTTTGTAAGAAAGATTTCACAGAGACACTAGTTAGTTGTCTGCGTCGAACAGAGCCGAGAGGGCATTCACCTTTAGGTAGCAAAGACGTCACTTCATTCCGTTCATTACAATGGGCACCTTTTGACACCAGCGATACATTTCACGAAACGCCAAAGTGGTTTTCTTTCTACTGAAGACAAATTTCCAAGAAGTTATATTGCTTTTAGGTTGTCAGGTGTAAGCAGCGACGTTTGCTACAGCTTTGCTGGCCGTGTAAGAAGGTATTTACTGTATGATCAAGAACAGATTGGAAACGGACAATCCGATCAAATATCGGTGAAAATTTGCACACTTCTATCACGTAGCTTTAGAACGACGATGGACTTGAGGTTGTGATGAGAAGAAGAACGTCAAGCCAGTGATCGGCGGAAACCAAAATTGCATCGAGATGCGCGTGTGTGTGCTAGAGCAGGAAGTAAGGTCGTTGAGTGTTACAAAAACTCCGGAACAGGTGCGACAAAAGACGTTACGTCTGTACGATAAGGCAGCGAAGTACGCTCGTGACCAGGTTAGTTGTATTTTCTATTCACCATTGTTCGATGTATTTAGTTAATATAATGGAGATGAAACATCGAATTCTGATAAAATGCAGGTAAAATCAGTGATTTAACGAACGCCACGTGCTAGTAGCATTCATTTACGTTCTGAAACTTTGCGATTGTGCAGTAAACTGTTCTCCACAGCTAGCAATATCGTTCAGATAGGGGCGATAAACGATACCACTAAAACGATAAAAGAGTTACTGCTCAAAGCTATCGTTAAACGACAATGATTGTTCCAGCACCATGTTTAAATAGCTCGCTGTATTTAGCTAGATTTTATACAATGTAAAGCGTGTGCTGCCGTTGATTTGAACATAAAGAGAATGCAATAGTACTTTCACGGGCTTTGGGAAAAATTGAATTTACACGTGTGCGTCGTGGATGATCGCATTTCTTAACCTCTGCCATCTTCGAACGCATCAAACAACAAAGTCGGTTTTAAAATACATTTATTAAATAAAAGAGTACGTCTCTATACCTATACACACAAATCTAAATAATTTCTTTTTTTAAACCTATTATCAAAGAATGAACTCACACGGACGAAAGGTCATTCTGTGCTTTAAACCTCAAAAATATAGCCGCGCGATACATGGTCGCTTATTGGATTAGGCATCCATAAGCTTTACGAGCGCGGATTGACGAACTCCACGACCGCGAATTCACTTGATACCATCCATTCGGCACACTTTTTTTCCTCGACTTCGGCAACTCCTTCGGCTAAACCAGTAACGGTATCCGTCTTGATTGTTCGCAATGTAACGAGTGGCGCGGGTTCAAATCCCATTAACGAAATCCTGAATTTTGTTGTGGGCTTCCACGCGCGGTCTCCTACCAGTTTACGATAATTAAGATCGCCTTTAAATATAATCAGGTCTGAATGAGCAAGCTCATCGTAAAGTTGGGGATCCCTATGCGACATATCAGCGTAGTCAAATGGAAGAGTCCAATAAGTGCGTTCTTCTATCGTCCACTGCTTAGAGGCGATATGTTCTCGGCACCGTTGGCCTAATGATGCGGTCGATGCAGAATCAGACTGTTCTAGACGGTCAATCACATAAGAAACGTCGTGACCAAGGGCGTCAGACACAAACCATGGCATCATCTTTACGTAGATACAAATTTGAGAAGCTAAACCATGTGTCATCATATAATCCATTAAAACTAGGTCCGTTATGAGCTCGAAGGCAGCGTTGTCCAGTACAAAACTAACCTGAAATAAGAAAAGTTTGACAAAAACTAAATATACTATAAGACAAAGAAGTATCCACTGGTCAGAAACTGGTTGACAGATCTTTTAAACTATGTTGCTACTCGTTATTATGTCATTTTTTAGTTTACGAATTTTCGAAACTGATGTTTTTGTCCACAAACCTTGAGTTTTTTTTTAGAATAAATGTATTCGATAAGTTCGACGGTATCATCTTGAAGGATGTTTGGTCGTAGTGTCTCTAGCGTTGAAATTGGGTTTGCTTTTTGTGAAGTTGGTTTTCCGGCAGTAAATGAAAGGTCACATTTATTGCCCCAAAGGGAAACTTCAATCAGCTGCGAGAGACACACCGTGGACGCAGACAACGTTCCTAGAAGATGTACAAAAGGTTTACATTCAACCCCAGCTTTAGGTTCTTATGAATCACGAATGCAATCCACAGATTATATACAAATGACATTATACCTTCGCTTACCTTATGAGAGTTGTTTTCAAAAGCAAATTTCGATATTATTTTTGTTGTATAAAATATCAAACTTCTGTGTGTTTACCACTTTTTTTTTTTGGTTTCAACGAATCGTTTTTATTAGGTGATTCGAATGCACTGCTTAATCTACACGCATGGACTTATTTAGCCTCACGTTCTCGTTCGAAAGGACAATTTCACGACACGATGAATGACACCTTCTCTTTTTTTGGCAGAAATACACATTATTTGCCCTTTAGGCCAAATGCAATTGTGCCAAACGGCATCGTTAACATTGAAATAGCCTATTGAACGGGTTCCGTAGAAGAAGACAACGACAAACGTTGTTAACCACCACTGATTAACAAAATGCTATAGATGATACATCGCACGTCAGAGTAATATTGGTTCTGCTTCATATTTGTGCCCAACGAGCATCAACTATTAATTCCCGGATTTTACTAGGGACCTGTACGATTGTACTATGGCAGATCGTAATGAAATCTTTTAGCTCCAACAATTGATTAACGTCTCCAAGTAACAGGTCAAATTTTAAACTAGGACAAGCTTGACCCAAACATCTGTCAGAGCACGGTCGTCCAGGTCGGATGAAAAAAACGCGTTATTTTTTTCTATCGCGTACCTTTCCGCGTTCCAGGAAATATATAGCCGTGCTACAATAAAGCATGCATTGAGACTCCGTTAACAATTGCTTCACCTGTTAGAGCATTGACAGCCAGCATCGAGGTTTCTAAGGCAGTCTCCTTCTGCTCACCAAAGTAATCATACGTCTTAAGTTTACTTGTCATCTGTAAAAGGAGAAACGCTTTGCAGTTTTACAAGGTGAATAGCTTCGTGATTCTAAAGTGGAATTATGAAAATTTTCCTTATGGGATACCTAGGGCGGTACCGGACGTAAAATGTACAAATCCACGTTGTCGCCTTATATAACTGAGTGCGTACCAAGTTCGTAAATGTCTATCTCAATACTTTGTGGTAACCATAAAAAAAAAGCACCAATTACCTGAAAGGATTCGAATATTCTTCTATAAAAATAGCATTCAGCCATTAGCCAAATTCCATCAAACCATCTTGGCAATGATTCTTGTGCTAGATGCGAGTTCCAAACGGAGACATCTTTAAACGAATCTTCCAATGGCACGTAGTCTTTATTGGTCTGTAGTTCATTGCGGAGCTTCGAGAGACGACCTACAATTAGTCACAGCGGTATCAAAAATTCTAAACATCTATTTTAAAAATATTATTTACATTATTAAGCCTTACCTAATGCTGCTAACGGCTCTAAAGGCACTAAATTAGGCAATTCATCCATTTTTTTTGTTGTTTTCTCACTAAACAGTACAGTCTTGAAGATGCACCGTATTGGCCCTTATAGTACGCTAAAACTAATGACCGACAGGCGGCTGACTGAGTCAATCAAAATGACGTTGCATACTTCCTCGGACTGTTTAAGGGTCTCCCACACAGCCCTCCTCGCCTTTGGACTCGCCACAATGGCGACACAGAAAATTTTGCATTCGATGATGTTTACTCGGTCAACAAAGTGTCTTATCAACCTATTTAGCTTTTGGCTCGGGTACAGCGACCGATAGCGTAGTTGGCTTCGCGTAACGTCCGCGTCTTATGTCAGAATGCCGAAGGAAGCTTGAGATTCAATCTCGACTTACTAGTCTCCCTTAGGAAAAGCGCGAAGCGCGCCAACAGATAAATAAGTTGCTGACCCCGAACGTCGTCGCTTTTCGCGCCACGTCGTAATGAGCAAATGAATAGAAATCGTCGCAGCTATTTGTCCTCTCGTTAAATAGTTGATAGACATTAACGCCTACAAATACTGGACTGTTCCAGTAATGAAAGAGAGCGCGAAACATCGTAAGAGAGAAGGAGGATTTAAAAAAACTTTAATTCTGCATCCACACTTGATGCAATTAATCATAACGAGGAATCTCTTAAACCGAGAATGAAAAAGTTCAAAATTATTTGAGTGATTATCATTTTGATTGAACGTTTGCTAAATACTGTGCGAAGACTGTTTATTATAAGGTTTAGGCGGAGATAAAAATAAAATAATAAACATTAGTAATAGATTTTAAGGGGTGTGATAAATGAATAGGACAAAGAGAACAAACATTCACGCAAGGTTTCGCGTGAGCATGATGAAGCTAGTGACCTACCAATGGTTTGTTTGACCTCTTCACGACCTGTAGGTCCATGGCTGCTTTCGATGTATGATGCTTTCCTACTTAAGTGGTCGATAACTTTTGTTAAAATCACTGGAAGTCGATCTTTCACAGTTTTATAGGCAAAGCTACCTTCGAATCGGGCAGAGAGGTGCACCGCGGGCTCTGTTTTGGGCGCAGCCATATTGGAATGAGTGGATGAATTTTCAGGCGACCTGAATGCCCTGGTAATAAGAGAACGGTTCTCCTTTCTCTGCCTTAAAGCGCGCAGCATTATAAACCTTAAATCTTTTAGGATAATCTCGTTATAGAGAATGAAACACCAAAAAGCTTTTAATGAATTTTAATGTAATGCTGTTTTTTCGTGCACATCCCGCTTTGCTTTTCGACAGTTACTATTTCTATTGTAATAAGGATTATAAGTATTTTTCATACATTTATTAATCCCACAGAATATCCTTTTACAGTCGGAAAAACGAAAATTAACAGTAACGAATACGTTTTGTATGAACAGCTGCAGGTGATTTGGCATGATCTTTAGTAGCTAGATCATTCTTGAGTAGATCTAAATTTAACGTGTGGCTGAAATCTCTGTGGACTAACATATAGCAAAATACGTATTCATTTCATTTACTCTATATCTGTTAAATCAGACAATCGTTTTATGTATATACCAAAGATTATCGAACTGCTAATAATCTATGAATTGAGCTTGTGAGATGAAGGATAGTGGTAAAAATTTTTGCGAAGCATGTAGAAACTCTATTACTCTGTATTCATGGGTAGCTCGCTATCAGATGAAGCCAAATAATTCACATGTAAACCTATATTTTCACGTTCAGGAATAGGGCAACAGCGACGATAACAATGTTTTGTTTTCGTAGGCTGACATTTCTTTCCGGAACAGCGTTTTTGTCAAACAATTTTGTATAATTGTCACGTCAGAACTATCATGTATCATTTGTATTGGCTATTTATTAAATCGGTTACAGTGACCATCTTCACCACCGGCGAACAAACAATACACCCTGCTTAAATGCTATCAGCAGTTAAGATAGGCTATCTTTCCGTGAAAATCCTTTTACACAATTTGGCCAAATGGGCTCCTTTTCTAGGGGGAACTATTCATACTACAAATCGAGGGCAACCATTTAGCAACATGATTACGACAACGACCAGCGGCATCGTCACAGCGGCGTGTGTAAGCCTTATCAGTTTCTAGGATATGCCTGTCACCATATTTTAGAAACTGACCCAAATGCAAGTGTACACTGCCTCCTAGAATTGGCCTGCTAGGCTAACCCGACAATGTAGTTTTATTTTAAGAAATTGTACTATGATTCTTTGTGTAACAGCGGAAATAAAAAAAAAAAACAACAAACCTTTACATTGAACGTACAACCTTTTGCTAATGATAGGTAGTGCAACAGTGTATGTCGATAATGGAACAGACACACTACTACGGTCTACTGTAATAGAATTTCAATATGAACATGTATGTTGAGCTTGAAAGGATTACGTATTAGATTTAGCGCGTAAAAGCGCTTGTCCTCTGTGTCCGACGCTCGACGATTTTTCTCGACCAACTCAGACTTGCCTTTCATAGGACCTATTAGCTGTACCATTTTAAAGTGAGCAAGCTTATCTGCGTTCAATGAATAACTGGTCGCTAAAAATAACTGATAGGAATTTGTAGAAAATGTCATTATAAGCACGCTCTTTATAGGCTTCAAGGAACAAGGTTTCATTCTGATAAGAAACATGCGATATTTCAGGGCTGTGGTCTTCTACTTTGTCCTGAGCTCGGTCTTTACATAGGGCTCACAGCCGAGCAGCAACTTCGTATCGCGGAACCCGTTGGCAAGTTAAATACGGAACCTCTGAATGAAAGTCAGCCAGCTTTAGCAGCTTTAGCTCAAACTGCTCGTAATAATGGGTTATATTTGGTGTGCTCGGTCATTGAACGAGACGACGCTTTCTACAATACCACCGTTATCCTGGATCCCCATGGAAAAGTGATAGGCAAGCATCGAAAGATGCATCTGTACCTTGAGGCAGGACTGATTCCATCTCACGAGAAACCGCGCAAAGTGTACATTCCAAACATTGGACAAGTCGGTAAGTTCGGACAAGTTCCCGTTACACCTTTTTTGACTACGTACAGAACAGTTTAATGCCTTATCTGGAGTGTCGCCTGCAGGTAAACATAAATCCAAAACATAGTTTCTTCTGTTCAAACTTAGCGGGCACATACACTGGGTCCTGCGACGTGCGAGAGGCCCATCGCCTTTCTCGCAGGCGGCTTCATGCAGATCGTGGCGGGCCTTTTCCATGTGTGTCAATGGCTGCCAGTACGATTAAGAGACGTTATAAATCAGTCGAAATAGCACGAGTCAATTCCAGAGTCGTGCAGACACACAAAGGCTATTTATATTGTGTGATCGCACCTGGAGCCGGAGTGGCCTCGTGTGTTTTCGTAGAGGACATTAATGATTGAAAAGCCTATATAATCGATGCAAGCCCCTAATGTCCCATGCTATTTCCTTACCAAAACTGTCGGAGAAGGCTTGACACGTCTGAGGATTCGCCCGCACCGTTCTACACTTCTCATCAATCACTTTTGTCCTTCAGAGCGACCCTGTGCGAATGAGGATGAACGAGAGGGCTATCGCTTACAGAGATTGTGTACAGCTTGCAAATTCCGTCCTAGACAAGTCGGTCCGCTGGTAGAAGCAATTCGCAAAAGAGAACAGGCAGTGCCTCTAACCGCCCGGGCCGTCTGTAAGATACTTTTCATTTCGCAAAATTCCTTAATTTCTTGGCTTGCAGAAAACTATTTATACTAGTTTTTTTGACCACCAACAAAGGAGATCGAGTTGATTTATTGCACCTTTCCAAGAGATGTTTTAACATTGATGTTGATCTGGTGATCCTCCAGAATTGTTAGCAGGATACTGCCGAACGCTGTTGCCACGTGCAAGGCCTGACAAACACACTACCCGGGGCAGCATGCAGAATGCCGTTGACTTATAGCTCGAAATCCGATGATTTTAGTGGCTCTTGCTGAGCGGCGACGATTCCTATGATCACAACTACAGACGCCTTTTGTTAGCAGCAAAAAAAGATCCCTCCAATATTTAATTTACGACAGCTTAATTTATGTTTACTTAATACGAAAAGGATATTATTTTATATTTTCAGAGCGTTTTAGCTGACTGAATGCGATAGACTGCGTTCTGCTCACTAGTATAGTTTATTGACACATCTTCATTATTTACAGAAATCATTACATGCTTCGATGTGTTTTTTGCCGAAGCTAATCAGGAGTGTAATAGTGATTTGGTTTTGTGGCTTACACACTGGTATGATGAGACACCAAATTTAACGGTTCTCAGTACCGCACGCGCCTGGGCAATCTCAAACCGTACCCCAATGGTGGTGGTAAGTAAAAAAAAAAATTTGACTATTTTTTATTTACATTCATGGGCCTTAGAATGTTCGGACAGTAAATGCCGAAGGAGAGCGCTGCAAGACGTTTGTGTAGAGCCTTTGTGAAAGAGGGCCTTTTCTGGATTTTAAGCTACAAATGTATTTTCTGAATCGTCTTGGTGTCCGCGTTAAGTTGACGCAATATCTTAGATAAATTTGTACTATAAATTTATCTAAGATACTGCGTAAATAAGTACAGCAAAGATCGCCCAAAGTGGTAGCAAATATGATCAAATATACGGTTTTCCACGGAAAAGGAGTTCAAGCCGACGTTTTTTGATGTCTAGCCAAATATATATTTCCTTAAATACATTTGATGCGTTCGGCAAGCTAGCGATGTAGGCGATCCAAAGGTTAGATGTGAAGCCAGTAGACGAAAGAAAGGATAGTCCTTTGTTTGCAGAAGCATGTGCGTCACAACAGGTGCTATAAGAGCGAAATGAAGCAAACTCAGCTTCATCCAAAGAAAAAAAAATCTATTTTTTCAATTACAGCTGAACCTGTCTAGGCATGTGCGCAAAAGCCTCCATATATGACATGCGGCATGCCTGAGCATCGCTATATTGACAATAATGATGTTGCTCTTGTTTACGGCGGCGTGTAAAGTCTGTGGACGGCAAAACGTAATGTTTATACATTAACTAGAGCGTCCCATGTACGCCCAATAAATAACTGTTAGAGAAAAACATTACAAGATATGCGGTTGACAACAGTTGTACATTCAACAATGCAATCTGTACCTCAGCATTTAATAGAGCATGCCATTACCTTTATCATAAACTTATGAACTAATTCAAGCAATGTTAACCGGTGCCCACTACTATAAAGATGCCAATATGAGCTAGTACGATTACCGCTTGCTCCGGTTCGGTTTGGGCGTTGCTTTTAAACGGACTAGTAAGCTTTCAGCTTGGACATGAACTTTGACTAAAGTTCTACTCCGGGCTCTCTGGTTTCGATGGCTGCAGTGCAACGCACGCAATTTACGTGAAGGAACTCTTGGTGCCGGCCTCTTCTTTCCCGATGGTTCAGGGCAGTATACAATGTCGTTTAGTGAAGAACGTGAGGCCTTGCACGTGTTCGACCTTAAATCAACTTCGTCCGCGCTAATCAGGTTTGTTAGGTGCTCACGATTGGTTTTAGTACAAATTTTGTATGCTTGTTCCAAAAACGGCTTTATTTCACAAACTTTATTATTTTTTTCTCTTAGTCTATTTTCTATACAGAATACGTTGTACTAGAATGATAAACCATAATTGTTTTGATGAGCATTTATTAGATAGCCTTGATTTTCTTATACCACTGTAGTATAATCATCGCACAAAATTGTATTAGGGAAGATGTAATAAAGGAAGTTGCTCTAAAGTCGATCCTTTTCTGATACCAACGCGGACAATTCAAACGGTTTCAAGCGTCGAATTCAAATGGATTCTACAATTAAATAAGTCAGTCAAGTCAGGATTAAGGATAGAAAAACTAAAAGGAAGCCCTTTTTTATTTAAAAAATGAGCAGAGAACTATTTAAAGGATATCTGACGCGATTTTGCAAAAATAACAGTAATAATAATAATGAAGCATTTAGTGACTTGAAGTGTACGTAGTATGTACGATCTAAAAAGGAAATGTCGAATTTTCGAATGGGAAAAGGCAAGACATACAAGCCAGCAGGGCTGAAGGGTGTCACATATGGTTACGTATAAAATGGGTGGTAGTGCAAAAGTACTTCGCGTTCCTATCATTGTAGCTGTACTTCCGGCTGATTATCCCTTAGTGTATTTTAAGAAACTCCAATTGAGTGTTTCATACGCTTTCTCTTATTGCTATGGATTGCTCTCGCACGTTCTTCAGTTTTTAGAAGGCTGCACCTTAGTGACTCTTCAAACGAAATTTTTTAATTCAACGCAGTTTGCAGAATATGGTCGCTGGATTATATGCTTTATGGAGCTTCGCTATAAAAGACACAAGTTAAAAAAAATATTTTTTAAATAATATTAATTGCTTCTCTATTCGAGTAAAATATTTTTGCAGACTATTATTTTGCTTCAAATATATTAATAGAAATAATAATAGTCAACCAGTCCGTTTGTGTATATACAGTCCGAGATTAGTTGGATGAAACCACCCGCTCTCTGGGATTGCATCGACGTATTGGCCAGTATTCCTTGCGCTGTGACAAGCATGATCCTGAGGCAATAATTACATACGCTTTTCTAGTCTTCAGCATTTCAACGGCAAACATTTTCAAAAAATCATAGCTAAAAAATTAAGGAAATTTTATGGGGGTGGGGGAGGGTGTCGATATTGTTAAGTACGACATCTTCATCTATAAACTGCATCTCACTCAGAAAGCCCTCTAAATGTACCTAGGGATCAACCATTGTGGCTCAAAAGCTAACTGCCCCACTTCTTCAGACAGCATCCCGTACTCTATTAGCAGTATTTGGTCGCTAGGATTGCTAAAAAATGACATGCGGATTCAATGGAACAGTTCAAACTCTTGTCCACAGAGGGGCCTAAGTTCAAAAGAAAATCGGTGATCCCAACAAACGAATGAGGAATCAAACAAATATTATTCGCATACATTTTATTGATGTTATATCTTTCTTGCATCGTCTTTCAGAAATCCAAAAGATATAGTGACACCAAGTTCGGTTTATCAGCCCATCGCTACGGACCTTTCGCGTTTTAATAAGGTGCCGTTGCTTCAGACGTGTGGAACTGTTCGATTTAATCTGCTAACTATCTCTTGCCGAGTAAGATACGAACTTCGGTGTCCTTCCAAGAACATTTTGTACTCAATGTTCGCTGCGGAAGGAACGCGTGGATTCGGAAATGGAGATTGTCTTTATCTACAGGAACTGTACGTGATAGCTGTTGACAAGGAGACCCGACAGCCATCTTTGCACAGTGGTTCGCCATTTCGTACCCTGAGTATAAGGATCGACGTCAAAGATGATTGTCGGCCTCAGAAAGCGTTCCCGTTTGTTATCGGAGACTACCTGTCCTTAGTGGATTCTTCAAAATGGCAATTTAATCGAGATAAGGTAGAAATTTTAATAATGTCATTCAGTTGTATTTAAACATTACTTAGCTTGGTAACCAGCGCAAACGTTTCTTTTGCACATCGCTCGGAACGAGCATGCCTGTAAGCGTCTCCTGAAATTTGACCCGGAGCTTTTCTTTAAAATAAAAATCAAATTTAAGTTTAAATCATGGTAAGTGTACATATACGATGGCTTTCAGAAGTAGTTACTCTCGCTTTAAATTTAAGTGATCAAAATAGCCTTTTTTGCTTTTAGTGGTTTTTCACACTCTGTCATTTTTATACTATCGCCTTTAAATGCAATGGAGAACTTTGGGTCAACTGTTATTATGAATGGGAAAAGTTTTCCCACTTTTTGGCATGCTTTTTATTGTTTTTTATTATATTTTATATAATTAATTTTTTTTTTATTTTTAATTATATCTTATATAATTAAAGATGTTAATAATTAATTTTATAAATTTTTCTGCGTTTTACTATCATATTAATTGCAATAATTAATGCATTAATTTGTAAACGTTCAGATATGAGTATACTAAAAGAAGTTTGGGTTTTTTTCATAATTTAGAGAAAATGGCCCTAACAGTTACAAGTGTGCAAAGTTAGTAAATACTTGCATCGATGGGTCTCACTTACATCTCAAAAGAGTCATACTTTACTCTGGTGTTCCTCCAAAAACGTTTACTGTAATTGCGCGCTAAGTAAAAATCCTTTTGTTTTGATATCTAGGTAGAACTGAAGTTGGAAGGTCTTGAGGTGGCGTGCGCTGGTATGTTCCGAAGAGTCTTCAGCAAAGACATTCCTAGGTATGTTCGTAAGAGAAGCCTTACGTTTTAAGTAATCGAACTAGGAAGTTCTAGAAACCACTTTTATATTAGGTTTATAAAGAAAATGATGTGGGCCGTGAAAGGAATAGATAAAAGGCATTATTCGAATTTCGCAACTTTTTGTTACGTTAATAGGAAATTAGCATGGCGTTAACTGAATATCTACCTAGATGGAGAAAATTCGAAACTGTACCACAGTTCTTTTAACGAATCCTCCAAGAAATTATGTGTGTCACCTTCTTGATCCCTTCTTCGATAATAGTTTCACGTGATAAAAATTAGGTTAAGTTGTTGTTAAGTAAAATATGGTCGAAATCCAATTCATAGTAAGGGTTGCATAGCGAATATTCAGTACGTCAAGCAATTTAACAGGCTGTAATGAATGGTCAAATTCACAAAAATTCGTTTTACTAATTATAATCCTTAGTTCATGGACGTCTGATGAGATCGATAAACTCTAGTGCTCCATCTTAAATAAAGGAAAAGCACCTCTCTCTGTAAATGATTCACATTTACTTAACTGAAATGAGTTGTTTGGTTTTGTTTTTCTATTTAAAGTCAAACTAGGTTGGACCATAGTGAAACTATTCGATTTCTTCTAAATATGGGATATTATGGTCTTGTGATTTGAGGTCGCGTGAAAAGATATCGCTTTATACCAAACATAAGCTATCTACAAAAACTCCATTGAGAGTTTTTTTTTTTTAGAGTTTACCATAAATCTTACAGCAATTCTCTGTGGGCTACTATATAAATCATATACAATTACATAGATTTACAAGATGGATCTGCACGATGGGACTTACGAATATACACCGTCATATTTATTCGCATATAACCGTATAATGATATTTCGTTACCTTCAGCCATTGTATTTATTTGTACTGTACAATGTGAACAAAATAAAACAGCAGTGTTAAATGCTTTGTCAAATATTTTCTTTGTATACTAATTAAGGGGAGAAACGAAGGGTCTAATCTTCTCCGCCAAGAGTCTAGTTGAGTTGTGTATTGACAGAAGTGATCCGGGTCCGTTGATCTGGTAGTACACGCCACTTCCTTTTGCTAATCAATAACACTATTGAAAAACGATATGCATTGATTAAAAAGAGGAATTAAGTATTAGTAGATAATGCTCCCAGCGGAATCAAGTCCAGCCGTTGGGGTTGAGCCCCACTTTTGGCTTACATGAAATGGGCTTTGTTACGGTGGTGTCCGATTATACAGACAGAGCAGTACTGCTCAATCTTCTTTTGAAAAAAAAATTTGCCTATTGTCAAAAGTGTTATCTATATTAGTATCGCATACGCTGATGTCCTGATCGCATTTAGATATATGGTCTCGCTCGCCCAGCAGCTGGCGTTTGCCCTCAGATTCACACTTGTAGATTAATCCCTTACGGCCCGTATCTTATTATTGATTTAAAAAATGCGTAAAGAGTTTTTTCATCCGGAAAAGGGCCACTTCTGGTATGTTCAATGTACAATCATTTTTTATACATTTGGAATGATGAATTGCACGTCGCCATTGTGCACTGAACATGACTTTCAGTAATACTGAATCGTTCCCACTAAATGTGCTTCCTTAATTATGAAATCCCTTAACTGATCACTTAATTAATTAAGTGATCGACTAACGGCACAGAATTTCATGGGAAGTTCTGAACACGGAAAATGAAAAAAAAAAGCTGAAAGTGCTCAGCTTTTTAACTTATCGATGGCCAGTGGCTATTGATTTAGTTGTCCTATCAGACATTCAATCAAAATAATAAGGTTATGCACACCGCATTCATTCAGAAAGTAATTAACTAATGGGGAAGTTAGCGCGATATTTTGTTGACTCATGCTAAGTTAATTATTCATACAAATATATTGTTAATAGAATTCTTTTTCGCTAATGTTATTGCAACATCTCAGTCTTCCTTTGAAATTTTCGTTAATTTTTTAACATACACACATGGGAGGTGAAACCCAGTCAAAGTTCGTAAGACTTTTTAAACGTAGCTATCGAGTAGGCCTTACATTGTCTGAAACAAGATTGAATTAAGTTTGTACAGAGCTAATCGAAGACAAGCCATTCATTCGCTGGGCAACAATAGGCTCTCGTTGAAATACCGCAAAATCATGCAAAATGGTCAGCTAAGATGTTCTTTCTTCGTTGAATTTCCGGTCAATAAACCGCCTTCGATTTGAATTTGAATTTTTACACAGCCAAACAACGTGTTTAGCATGTTTCCATATATATATATATATTCCACTTGTTTATTTTCGCGATTTACTCTTTTTACTATTATTACAAAAACGGAAAAAAAGAGTTGTATACATTCAACAGAACATTATTATTTGAAACACATCTTTCTGCACACCAACATAGATGGCACTACAGAGGCCACCGTGAATCTATTGCACACGTACGAGACACACGTTTATGTGTGATGTAATTATCACTCCTTGAACCCTAGCTGTGTATGGCAAGTATAATTTCAAATTTTCTTTATCTAAAAGTGCAGCTTTTACGCTGTCAGTTTAAAGAAAAACATATAACCTGTAATAGATGTGTACTTCTAACGTGTCAACCAGTTTTACATTCATTAGTTATATCTGTATATACCGACTAGGACAGGAATAGGTTGTTTGGGCTGTCTTTAAATAATTAGAGTATATAATCCATTAGCGTCGGATTAGCGAGGAAAGTAGGTTCATTATTGTTATTTTTTTTATTTACTTTTTTCAGAGATTTTATTAAAAATATTTGATTCGATACTAAACTATTTTGATAAGGCAAGCGTTGTTAATATCGGCTGACTGAGTGGTTGTCTAAGATCAGTATTGCTAACCAGGTATACGCATGTAATAACGACATTTCTGTTAACTACTATACTTTGCCATTTTTTTCATGTAGCCGATAGTGCACTAACATAGACCTCTCACGAATTTTCTAAAAAAAAAAAAGTTTTTTTTTTTTTTAAATAACAGTAAATGAACGGGCGCAGAAGGAGCTGCGAAGACGGTAACTCTGCCGCTGCATCCATACGGTGACAAGGAGATACGTTCAATACGAGTCGCCCCATTAGAGACGCTGTGCCACATCAAGAAATAATCTAGGATTATTTCTTTATGTATTCTAGATGCAGCAAGGCTGATGTTAATTTCATAAGGAAAATGTTATTAACGGCAAAAATAATTCCTACTAAAAAGAACTAAAAAAAAATACTAACAAACATTTTCAAACACACTACGTTATTTCAGAATTCGGTAAACTATTTTTTGTTATACATATAACTTGAAAAATATGTTGTGTAATGTTTTGAAAAACGTTTAATCAACGAAAACTTTAGCTTTCATGCAATTTGCAGCGTCAAAGATAACTGCCATTACAGTCAATTTAACTTATTTTCACTATACATAGTCAACTGATAGGCTACATGTTTGCGTACGTAGCTCGCTTGAATGCCCCCTGTGCAGGAGTCTGTATATATAACGCGTCATTAAACTGCATTTAGCTACTGGTCATATATAAGTTGTTTCGTTTCAGGTATCGTATCAGTTTATAGACGGAAAGCTGATCAAGCTTTGCTCGTGTATAGGTATATACTAGCCAAATCTCCCATTCGGCAAACGACTTAATCGACACACACTCAACATTGGTAATTCCATCGTAATACTATAATGATGACCATAGTTTAAAAAAAAAAAAAAAAAAAAGCTACTTTTATCGGGACTTTGTTACCGCCATGAACATTGATCTGAATTACCCCAAACATCTGACGTTCTGAAAACGAATGAAAATATGCCTATGTTATATATCTAGTAGAGCGAATATGCATATAGCTTTGATTAAAGTGTTACTAAAGTAGTAAAGCATAGATATGGTTCGGACCAGCCATTAGCATACCACTTATCGCTATTGTATTGCGCAACGATTTCGGTAAACAGAATAGTTATTTCTTACGTCGTTAAAATATCTTTAGTTCGAATGCTAACAGATGACTGATGGTTAATAACAACCAGACACAAACAAAAACTTACAAAAATGTATTTAGCTTTCTGCAATAAAAGAAAAGTTGAGCGCTCCCCTCGATCAAACCGAAGGTTTTAATAGGATACTTGGTTCAGCATCTTTTCGGATAAAAAAGAACTTTAAAGGAGCAAACCTTTCCTAACGAAAGTGTAAAACCGATGTCCTCGGAACCAAAACAAAGCCGAAGTAGCAATCCACTCGTTAACAATGGGAGCAGCAAATTACAACAATTTTTATCTGGGCGGGACCTGAGCCGAAGCCCGAGTTTACACCGCTATCGCCTCCAACAGCCTTTGCTAAAAAATTGGTCATGACAAAAACTTAGAGATCCTCCCTGCATCGAAGTCAAGCGCTTTAAGAATGGACAACGATTATTTGACCTGTACGGACTCTCTTCGGTCAAGAAGTGCAAACTTTTTAACTGAAGCACGACCTGCTCGGCAAAATCGCTTACCCTGGGCTTTCTTTAAGGCAATATCTTTCGTAACGTAAAATTCCATCAACCAGCGATTTAACAGAAAGAAAATATTAGCATTTGTACCACAACAAACTGTTCCGATTATGAAATTTACGGGATCGACATTAACCTTCGAAGGTGAACAGTTTTACCTAAACTGTTCACCTTCGAAACTAAAAACCCGTCATTGCTTGAATCAATATACACATATAAGGTGTTTTTAGCATTTGTTATTCAAACTATCGAAAAACCTTGATCTGAGGTAGCAGCCATCGATAACCATAGAAACAACGAGAATGAATGAATTACAAGGGTTACTTGAATTTGAAAAAGAAGGCAGTAGTAGTTCATCGTATGTCAACCATTGGCAAAAATGGTATCTATGCTTAGCGATTTACTCTTGAGCGCTTAGCTTAACGTGATCATTAATGGACAACCATTACACATAAAAATAACTTTCAACAAAATAGGGAATAGCCTCCAAGTAACATATAACTCAACCTTCCAAACCCCTAGTTCAACTAACGATTACTAAGTCTTATCACGAAATCATTATCATATGCAAATTCATCCCTCGTGGAAGCCGTTGACTCAGATTTGTATGCATACTGATATGATGAGAGAAATTGTACCCAAAACTAAAACAGCTGAGAAAAAACAAGTTAAATTATATTGCTCATAAAAGTAATTACCATATTAATACATTAATACATAAAAATAAATATATCGAACGATGGTTTCCATCAGATCAAGATACACCCGGAACCCTACGGTTCTTGTAATCTGTCTAGACTTTGGGGGTTCGGAAAAATCGAAACGGTCCTGTAAAAAAAAAAAAAACTCTGCATTAGCATATTTAATTTAGTCTAGTATCGTGGTTAGATAGCCAAACGCTTCAAGGAAGAAGAGGTTGAATGGTCTTTTGAGCCAAATGGGAAAACTTTCGGCATGGATAACATTGTCTTCAGATGGCAATATAACAAATAAGCGAAAACGCCATTCCAGTGCTATAATATATCATATTTTCAAAACTGGTTCCTTTTTACTAAGTAAGCAAAAAGTATTTAGATAATTGACCGACACAATTCATCATTTTTGAAGATGAATAATTTATAATGTATCTAATATATATATAATAAATGTGAGGCATACCTTGGAATATTTTTTCCCACATTATACGTATTTTCATTGAGAACAAAATTTAAGGTGATTAAATTATCTACTTGCGAAACAGTTGCCACTCTCTAAGCCTTCTATGTCCGATCACTACTTATGGAAAAGTACTCTTATACTGTCTATCTGTAAAAAAAAACATAGACTGGGATACAACGCAAGGGAATCGCTATGGAGTTTCCGCAACCTCGTAAAAAAATCTGCCTTTGTGGATTTGTTGTCCGGCCACGGAGTACATCAGATTTTATTAGATTTCTTAGTGCCAATAGAGGCAATCTTCGTGACATTGGCCGAGGGACGTATTGTATGACCTAGCATCGTACGCCGTTATAGCATACGCCAACCTCAGTTACTTATGCTGCCAAAAGCCAGATGCTCCTTTAGAAGGTTCCTAAATAATCTACGAATTTCAATGGTAAATGTTTTACTCACTGTGCAAATAGTCTTTAAATCAAACAAAGCCTGCAGTTGGAGCAACTGCGGTTTACTCTATCTGTATTTTTCATGATATTATAATTAATAATATCATGACTATGCTGGAGTAGCAAAAGACACAGCGCCAGCAATTAGAAATTAATTGAAGCGTTGAAAAACGCAACAGATTGAAACTACATGGCTTCCAATGAAAATTCCGTAATGCAAAGGTACGGAAACATGCTTGTTGTAAAATCGTGTCTGACTGATCCTACCGTCTAGGGTCTTAAATCAACACAGAGCGTTCTCATCAAGTAAGAAATTTAGAAGAAGAAAAGGTCGCTGGTCGACTCAGGTATACAGCCTTTGATGATCTCCATCTAATAGATATTTTAGAAACCGACAGACGTACGATAAGAAAGGGATAGATGTCCAAAGCATAGGATAATCACATTCTCACACAAAAAAAAATCATGGAAAAGTTTACTGACGTTGATTGGACAGTTGCTCTCAGAAAGCTTTGTTGCACATCATTAGATATATGTACTTAGTTGGTTAGAATTTCCTTTATTTGATGCTTAAGAACTGCTGAAATAGAAACTTTTGAAAACACATGAATGCTTATGCACAGATGAGATGATTATTTATTTTGTGTGTACAAGTCGTTTCATTATATACAACGCAATGCCATGCCTGTTCCCAAGATGTTCTATACAGTCCTACCTGGTTCCAGAGACTTTTTCAAATTTTTTATTCGTAGCGTCCGTGCAACCGGTTTCAGTCGTCGTCTTGATCTGCCGCATCCTGATCACTGTTTGCATCTTCTGCCATCTCAACATCATTGTTATTATCTAGAAAGCAAAAAATAGCGAAATAAAATTACTAATAATCATACTCTATCAGGCGACTTCATCAGCAACCTATTAGCGAACGGCCTGAAGTTATCAGACATTTTATTACTTTTGACACACATACAGAGGATACGTGGCTATGAAACAGAGCGCGCCCCCCTCTATAGCTCTCCTAGATATGTTATAAAAAGCTAAAAAGCCGGAAGTTATAAGGCACTCGCTAGGCCAAAGGTCGATATGGAAGAAAATTTTAAAATTTGGCAGAACTAAGGCAGCAAAGAACTAATAACGTTCGAATATTGTGGGTTGTCTCTGTGTATAGATAGACTGATCTTGATCCACCTCAACTGCTACACAATAGTTTTCTATAAAATAAATAAAAAGCAACAAATTTCCTAGTCACAAACCTTGTAACTTTGCCTCAACGGGGCCGTCGCCGGAACTATTTTTTGTCGTCCCATCTTTAGCCTTTTTTTTATCCTTTTTGGCGCTCTTATCCCTTCGGAAAGCTTCTAACGCTTCTTCCAGTTGCGGCTTGAACGCTTCTAGTTCCATATCTTCCATTGCTGCCATAACATCCTGCCCAGAAACCATCTTGCGCTTACCTGTAACATACAAATTGTTTCCCGAAATTGTGCTTCATTTAGCAAGAAATTAAAAGACATCATGTAGGCCTAATGTTCTGTGGAATCATTTTTGCATTATGCAGGTGTGTCGACACCTCAACGGAAAAAAATAAATAGGTGTAGTCTTTTTATAGATGGGAGTCTAGACATTGGGTAGACAGGATCTTTACGAATAGATAGGAGCTCTTCATCGTTCCTCGTTACGAATTAAGCAACAAGTTAATGCTGTTACTAAATATCCAATAACAAAGCAAATAGCCTATTCAAGAACAACGGTAGTCTGCTCAAATCAGTAACCGTGTTCGTGAGTCGATTTATGGTACACATGGAAGTTGTAGCTTAGGCCCTGTAAAAAAATTAAATTATTGTTATTATACTTTTGTTGGCGAAGTTGTTTGAAAGTGAGGTAGAGTAGAGAACGAAAATCGATGCTGCCTTTGCAAGAGCGGCCCGAGCCTCCTTCGATACGGACACGTTTTCGGGCAGCGATTCCTTGAGCAGACGAGCAACTACCGATACAGGAAGGTTAAAGTCTTCAGGCCGTTCAGCCATTATTATCGAATCCTGAATACCCGGAAAATATTAAAATGAATAATATGAAATGAAATTTCAAAAAATCAATTATGGAGAGGTCATTTTAAGTCAAGCATACATATTTCGATATAAGTTGAACAAAATTGTTCTGCTGTCAGGCTTTTCGTAACGAGCAGCTCTGCATTGGCCATCCGTCGCACATACTAACCGCGTGTGCGTTTAGTACGAAGTAGTATAAAGAAGATAGGTGGATTCGACGTGAAGTTTATTAAATTTAAAACAACTGCTTTGACATTAAGCTAACTTACTATAGTTGAGTTTGAAAAAATGTAAAACAAATCGACCTCTAGGTTTTGTTGGGTCATCCTACCTAGCATCTAGTATGATAATGCATAAACTTCTTATTGTATTCATATACTTCGCTCATTCTTCTATATTATTTAAAAGTAGAGTGATTCATTGTTGAAATGCGCAGCGTTTTATCTTTCGTACAGTCAAATGAGACAGAAAAACCCTGTGACTAAAATTTACTCAAGCGAAAAATAGAAATCTACCTAAATTAAATATAAGCCCAATCACTTAAATCAATAGTTTCTCATGTAATATGTAGAGTTAGCTTTTCGTAGTCTTTGAAACGATCAATTTGCAGCCTTGTTTTCAGTCTAAAGCGTATCATAAGATTCGCTTTTCAATCGAATGAATATTCAGAGAAATATTTTATTCATTTGATAATGATAAAAGCGGTTAAGTGGCGGGCAATAATTAGACGGCTAAAACCAGGTCTCCCTTGTTAGACATTTCGAAACTGCTCACCACACTGGCAACAAAACACCCTATCAACTTACGCCATGCTAATGCCATTTACCAAAATCGGAAGACAAATTTTGGCCTACTTACAAGACGATAAATTGAGAAGTAGGAATTCTGTAATAAACTACTTTAGTCATTAAATTGCGAGCGCAACTTTTCGAACATTCTGAAAAGGCGGGACTAAATCAAAACAATGCTCCTTTTAGATCAGTAATCTTTTGATGTTCGCTGCACCCGGAAGTGACGGCTTTCCGTTAGGTACATTTGTTTGATTGGCACCGAAGACAACACACACACACAAAATACACATCGGAAGTGCAAAAGTCGCTGCATATAGGCGCTTAAAAATGCACAATTCTGTGAGATATATATTGTTATGTGTACCCCGCATAGAATTTCCGGGTGCTCGCCATGTTCGTGCAGTGCAGTGGAAGTAAATAAAAGCAATTCCATATGGTCTCTCCATGAAACTTATCAAAATCTTCTACCTAACATGATATAATGACAAATCTAAGTAGTGTAACCGCGAATTGTTTGGCGTTCCAGTAGATCATCAAGCTCTCGTCTCGCAATGAATTGGTAAGTTCTTCTGCATAGCAGCCGTAACCGGGTTCCGAGTTTTTCTGATTGTACTTAAAATAGAAAGACTATCACTGTAATACATCATTTGAGATGGTTCAATTATTAATAATAATGTATCGGGTAAATATATAATCTCTTAAACCCAGGGCTGACACGAAACCTCTAAAAAAAATGTAGTATGTGCTCTTTACCTTTCAACTTTATAAAAATGTGTGGCTTAACTCTGCAAAGGACAACTTGAAAGAAAAATAATTTTATCATCATGTTATTCAATATTCGTTGAATTCTCGATAAAGCTATTTGTTTTACCCGCAAGACTAATTAAACTAATTATCCATTGAATGAATTTTCTAGATAAATTTTCTGGAACTACAGCTGTAGGAACCAATAGAGCAAACTGCTTAAAGTCCGCAAAAAGACAGCAGTTGTGAAGCGAATTAGTCGTATTTTCATTTTTTTCTAATTTAGGAACCCATTGAAGCGGCTCTCGGCGCGACCAAGTGGAAAGGATACGCCCACGAGTCCTGAATGGGAAGCTCCAATGGATTCGGTTGATGAGATTGTGTCACGGTATCACCGCCTCGAAGTAAATTCAAAGAAGCTACACAAAAGTGCCAAAAAGTACGAGGATATGATGCTCGGTTAGTATCATTATTGTCGTTGTTATCATGGAAAATCACAGTTAAGTTTTTTCAAATTCGATTGCCAAACATGTTATTCTTACGTTTCGTTAGAAAAATGGAGACACCAACTGTTTTCGTGCGAAGTGAACTTTTGTCCAGCTTGGTTTGCGCTTTGTATAAGCTGTTAATTTTATTTAAAAAAAAAAACTGAGCATTTAAAAAGACAGCGTGAATATATAGCGCGAACTCGCGTATGGACGAAGGGTGCAACGTTCATCCGACTGGACAATAAAGTTCGACTCAACCTGTAGCCTGATTTATGTAGTGGATTTTTTACGTCAAAATTAAGTATGCTCTGCGAGATGGATACTAAATAGAGAGAAAAACCTTTGCTTCATATCTTGTATAGCTATTTATATATCCCGCGCTATTTTTTTCAGAACGCTAGCAGATTATGTGGTTTAGTAAATAGTAAGATTGCTTGCCTCATAAAACAAATTAGTGAACACTACTTGCGGCTACGTAATGGGAAAGTACCTTTGAAAATGATGTATTTGCTGGAGTATACTTTGACAGTCGTTTTCACAGCAAATAGTCCATGTTTATAAGGTAATGTTAGGTAGATTTATTTGCTGCCTTTGATTTAACGATTCTCTTGTTGACAGTGTTGATATTATCAGCCTATACCAATTTAATCTATCAAGTATATAACTGTATGTTTGTGAATTTTGCCTATGCATGTTTTTGCAGCACTGTATCAGTCGGAAAAGAAACTGTGCGGTGACATGGTAAATGACGACTTCTGCAAAGAACACGATGATTTACGGCGCACGATCGAGGAATGGTTATGCTACGCGTCGGAGATGGATCAAGCTGTCGACGATCACGTATGAATAGATCGCTATTCATTGTTTAATTCTTCTAAAGGCTTTCCCTTATCTCAAAAGAACACACATAAACGAACGCTTCCACCACCCTGACTGAGGCAGTAATTAACGACCTTTTTGTGCTTTCTAATAGGAAATATATGTCATTTCTAACGATTATTGTATTTAGTGTTCGATGAATATCGTTTGTAACTTACCAAGAATGCAAACTCTGTGCTTTCAATGTTTCATTTTGGATATTCTATAAACAACTTTTAATATATTTTAGGTAATAGCTGTGCGACGATGTCTAGTGGATCCGATGAAACGATATCAGAGCACGTTCCCTGATGTTCAAGCAGCCGTCAAAAAAAGGGATCAACTCGTGCAGGAACATCTCCGGATGGTGCAAAAAGTCGCAAAATTGGAGACCAAGGAGGCCACTGGTGGGTCTGGCAACTGGGCTGTGCTAATACGTGGGTCTAACATAAAGACGAACATTGACAATATATTTGCCTTTTCTGAGAAAAACGTTCATGAATAAACTATTCTAGAGTGTCTTTGATTAAAAGTTTTAAATTACGAGATGCACTGGTTTAGCTTGAACTCTGCGTTTTGGAATCAGGTGTCTTGTATGCAAATAAATTGCCGAGAGCATTTTACTAACCATTCCTAGTTCAGACCTACATAACATGACAACGGTTATAGATGCATGAAAAGCCTAAGCAATAATTAGTAAATAAAATATGAAGATACTCACTTTTGCTTTCAAGAAAGTTAGGCATATTTGTTTGACAATAAGTGTCAAAGCAGACCCGTTAGTAGTAGTAACAGTTCTTACATACAAGCATGTGCGTACGCCAACTGTCCTTAGCATTTGAGAAGCATTCTGCCGTGTGTATCGTACTTCGGCGACGCAGAATTGAGTCGGAGAGTGAGGTTTGTCCACAGACTTATGTTAAAATAATTATCTTCAAACGACAGGAAATAACATAGCCAAGCTTGCGGAGTCGCGCCGTCAAGTCGAGATACTGGCAAATGAGTTGGAGGCTCAGAACACATTATTGCGTTCCGAACTGCCAGCAATATATGAACATCGCGTCGAGTATATACAGCCGTGCTTACACGCACTCATTCTATCGCAGGTATTATTTATGTATGCGTTTTTTCAGGGGATGCATGTAGCTGTGTTCCTATTATATTTATCTCTGAGGAACATGTCAGTATTTCACGGTGTCGCTCGCGCACTCACTCAGCGTAAACCACCAATATTTAACATTACTTACAGACGGTCCACTGGGGCGAGGCAACCAGCCGTCTCCAGAAATGCTTTCCTTCACTAAACAAGAGCTGCCGTTCGGACGCAGAAACCTCGCAATACCATCGCGACAAACTCAACGCTATAAAATCTTTATCGATTGTTGCCGGGTCGGACTAAGGATCCCACAGGTTAGGTAAAATATATTTGACACCATCAAGTTTTAGCGTCACTGTTTTTTAACAATCTATATTGCATAAGGGAGGTGTGTCTTAGCGTCTGCGAAGCCCATTGCAACGACTTTACATTGTTGGTGTATTGTTCTTGATAAATCGCACTTGGTAGTATATTGAAGGTTTTATTAATTACCACAACGTTCTAAGGTAATTCATTGTTCCAGTTTGTATCAATTTCTGAAAATACTTAATTATTTGTTGAGTCGGTAGAATTTTTTGCTTGAAAGTTGCACCGTTTCCAAATAGAAATATCACTTAGTTTTTTTTAAACAAATACTATTTTGTAATTATCTATGTATACTATAGATCTATATGTATATACTCTGTTAACGATTTGTGACTGAGATGTATTTATGCTATTGCTAAGTAAAAAAATTCAAGGTTTCGCTCAATGTACCTCAATACTTAATACGGTACCACTGCTGACCTCAAACATGTTCGCGAAACTTGCGCGCACACAATCTGTCAAAATAATACTGAAAAATGGAGAAACAATAAAGCGAGTTTGAGTTGATTCGAGGCTTTGTTTTTATTCTGTGCTTATTCCTCCCACACAGGTACCCCTCAGGTGTATCAAGCGATCGTAAAATATTCTGTGGGACTTAATGATTATTTTGGGAAAAATCAATTCTACCTTCAAAAATGATAACCAGATTTTTTCTTACGTAAAAAAATTTTAGTCGATACCACAGCCTCGAAATGGAGTGTGTAAAAACGATTTTTTTCACTACATATGCCTGTGCGTTTTTGTAAAAGTTAAATTACTACGTACGTTTATGCGCCAGTAAAGTGCAATCACAGGTTTGGGTCATTAAAAAGTATCTTTTTTTTTATCGTAGTTTTGGAAAAAAGTATCAATAAAGACTACAAAGGCTCCAAAATAATTAAGTTTACCTGCAGTAGAGCAGAGTCTGGCACTGCGGAAGAAAAGTGTTGACATGAGACAATTGGCTGTCATGTGGAAGAATTGAAAAGGTATCCGAGAAAGGCTGAGAGATAACCAGCATTAGTTTCAAAACCCTCGACAGTAAAAAAAAACTTTTTTTGCGAAAAATATCAGTTGTTACAATACGAAGTTTATTATTGTGTCACACAGTTATGATCAAAGTACTTAAGATAAATCTTTATCTATTTATATATATATATATATACACACATATATATCAAAAAGCACTTATATAGGTATAACGCAAAAATCTTCTTGCTCAAGCTAGCACACTGCACTTTCCTGTGTTATACGAGTCCAAATGATATTTTTGGGTTTATGACTTCACCATTCTAGGTCACGACGCATTTGGAACTCATAGAGAAGTAATCTTGCTTTTATCAATATGGTTCGCATGAGCTAAAACTTAATTTCAGCAGCATCTAATAAATTACTAAGGAAAATATTCATCGAGGAATATACATGATCTCAGATATAGTGGAGTTATGTTTGTTTTAGAGATCAGACAGCATTTTTAATCACCTGAGAACTGTATTACTTTACGAAAGTTCTAATTCAATTAGGGAATTGAAGGAAACAATGAAACCTGCTGTGGAGTTTAACTATCCTACGGAGAGTCGAAGAGAGCCGTGGAAGATTTCCCATTGAATATGCTACGCTGATTTGGTTGAACCCATGCCAACACAGAGACGCGACTATGCAGTTGAGTGCAAAGATGCCCTAAGGCCCTAGCATAACGTTTTTATCACACACACGGAGCATGTCATCTCGTATAACTTCACTGAACAGATAATTTATTTTGGACTTAATGATAGTATCTAGCACACTTTTTACTGTTTGTTTAGAGGTATTCCTTGTTTACCTTTGGACAAATTCATCGCTAATTGTTTCCCGTAATAAAATTCCGATGTTGCCTTGTTTTTGGGTGTCTACATTAAAAAATTACCGTGCGGTATAATAAATATAATTCAATAAGGGACAGCAAGGAAGAACAGCGATCCTTCATGCTGCGTTAGTGTTTCGCTGGCCTCTGAATTGCGCATGATTAATACATATCAAACTTTCCGGGTCTTGCTTAGCTGTTATACCGAAAAATATTATACGCCTGCCTTCACTAGTAGGTACTGAGAAAGATACTATTTGTATCCATGGACGGGGGACTGGGACACTAAGATAGCCTCATCTGGACTCATCGTTCGTTATGACTCGTGTATGAATGTCGCCAGGGTGAAAAAAGTGAAACAGCTTCACGCTTCTCGACTTCTTAAGCGTAACCGTGGTTCACAGGCGTCTTCATTCTATAAATTAATTGAAAACAAAATTTCAGTGATTACAAAATTTTCACAATCTTAATTCGATGAATTAGCAACGAATCGTTTGGTGATGGCTTATTTTGAATTCTTGAAGAAGTTGTACGACGTGATGGGTTAAGTTTTCCTAAAAAATTTAATTAATTTTTTTTAAATGTTCAAGTCCATATTTCACCATGGTAAGACTGTACGAGCATGAGGTTCCATTTGAGCCTCGGAACATCGTCTTTTTTAACAAGCAAACATCTCCATTTTGAATAGTAGTTCTCGGCTGTCGTACCTAAAGAAGAGATTTGCGGTACGATCGTATGGATAGCGATTTGAAATAATTTGTACGTGACGAGTGCAACTGAAGAACAGACGAATCAGATGTTACAACACTGTTTGTTTGGACTTGTCACTTGTCGGCCGGAACAGCTGAGCCAAGCGCTGGTAGGCAGGGGCCTCCGCGACCAAGATAGGCTAGCGTGATTTCCCTAAGTATATCCAGTTTGCCTGACGTAAATTTGAACGGCTAATTGGTAATGATTGCAACGAGTTTCAAAACAACTGTACGAAGTTCTTTAGAACAAATGAAAGATCGGCCAAGATCGGAGTCTTTGTTAGATTTACCTTAAAGGTTGTAACCCGGCTTTTTTTTTTTAGAGCCATTTTGCCAAGGAGCGTGACGGGGACGAACGTTATAGACAGCGGAACTGGGTCATGGTCACCGTACTATCATGCGCTTTCCAACAGATGAAACAATGATGGAAAATCGACTTCACCATTTGCCGGCGTCGGACTGATAAAAGGATAGTGTTAATACCGAAGGGTGCATTTGTTCTGTAGTGATGTAAGATGATAACATTATATGGAACTGTTCTTATCTCGGAAGTACTAATGGGCGAAACCAAAATATGCATACTTTTCTATCATATTCCAGCATTCTCGCTAAATGATGCGGGCGCAACAATTGCTAAGTTCGCTGGTGCTTGATCGCCAGTCGTAATCGCCATCAAACCCTGTTTGCGAAGTAACTCTGCTACCTCCACTTAATACTTAATACTTCAAGCTACGCCAATCTTGCAGATTGGCGTAGCTTGAAGTCAAATGCCACGGACGTGGATCTAGCGACTTCTTCTTTGCAGTATCGATACGGCTAAATGCATTTCGATTAGGGTAAATAATAACGAAAACATCAGTATCGCAGGTGATATTCGGTAGCTCTGGATTCTCGACGGAGCATAGTCTTCTGTAAAACCTATCTTACGGTCAAAGTTTCAGCCGTTCTCAGCGTGACCACCACTCTTTATTCGCAACACGCTTTGATGTGGATTTATTACGTGTTGCGATATTAAAAGTATTCGACACCCTCGGGAAGCGATTTCGAAGCTGATCTCAGAAATACGATTATAAACGAACCCTTTACAGCACAAAGATGGCTTCAATGAACAGCAGTAGCAGGTGGTCGGTGAGTTAGTATAATTACAGTCAGTATAGTGATTCTATCGACCTTGACATAAGACAAACAAACGATCACTTTCAGGCACTGCAGCGTGAGTACCTTCCTCAGAGCTAACCAGGAGGTGGCCACTAGAAATGCCATCAGTGCAGATTGCCTGTAGTGACGGCAGCATAGGCCGTTCTGAATTTATTGCCGAAACCGTGAAGGTAGTACTCCTCCTTCGTATCCTGGAAAAGAGAGTAATTCTTTGAGTGGCTTACTGAAAGCTATGGGGTGTCATTCTAACGATTGATGCTGCAACCACTGAAGTAGCCATCTGGTTAATTTGACAGACGATCAATGCTATGCGCTTAGTGACGTGTAAAAATGTGAGGGCTTTTGAGCTCGCGGGCGAAGTTGGCTGTACGCGAAGATGATCAGCAATCGGGGACCAGATGATTTCGACTACCTTGAGGGACACAGTGCCTCAGCTGACTCCACTCGCCAATTCTTGAGATAGTCCATGAAACCCGACGAATTAGCTTTCCAATTTGCTAAGATTGGCCAAGTTACGATCTCTTTGATGAATAAGCTAGCCTCAGACAGCGTGGCGAAGCTCGTTAACATATCGGTATGGTATAGCGAATCGCTTAATTTATGTGCGCCCGTAGATGTGATAAGTAGAGTCGCTGCTATGACAACACCACTTAGCGTGTCTTCCCGAGTAACGGTGGTCGTCAGTCAGATCTTACCGTAGGAACTGGCATAATGATAGGTCTTTGTTGACGAGACTTACCACAATGTGCACCTTCATGATATCCTTCATTGACATCGCAACTCGATGAAACCGAAGATGGGGCAACAATTTGACGCTCAGGCCAACCGATATATAAGCGTTAAGTGAAGCGGTACCCGGTGCCTCACCAAATGGTTGAAGGCTATGTGCTATCATGGTTGCCCGCTATGATCCTTCCATACTGGCTTTTTTTTCGCGCATTAAGCGTTGCGACACGTTGCTGGGATAGAGCGTTGCATAGCTGTATATAGAGTGTTCGTCAATCGAAAGCTCGGGCTGCGCTTAGCTGCGCCATCGTGACGAGTAACCATTGTACATTGATTTGTCTGACAGCATCAGCAAGCTTGCTCAGTTGATAGTGCGCTTAGTAGTGGGGTATCCATAGCAAAAATGGTTTTTTGCAAGCATAACTTTTTAGACTCTACGTTTGGTATTAGCATGATCGAACAGAATAGATTGCTCGGCACACAATAGACGAATTGCGAAAGCCTAGCGTTTAGATCCTTCATTTGTAGTATTAACTTCTCCATGTTCTTCACTAATAGTCAGGATCTTTCGATATCGCTCGAAGACTTCACCGCAACTGCTGTTCGCAATCGACTGTTATTCAGCTAGAATCTGCACCAAGAAAGCGTAGGTTTTTCGTCAGCGCCGAAGTCACTCCATTCAATTATCGGATCGCTTTCTATAGAGGCGGTAAACGCTTACGGTTGCGTGTAGTGGTAAAAGAAGGTAGTCCACTACTGTAAATTGTTGGACGAATGCCGATGAATATGAGTGTCTGGAAACTAAGATGGCCGTCTTTAGCTGCGGTGAGAGTCGCTGACGAATTATGCACGTTTCGCTGCTGTAGCTTTATGATGCAGCAATCTATTCCAACTCTCGTCAATCCTTTGCGGTTTAGGGGATCCAGTATTTTGTCGTCAACATCTTCCACAACCTCACCTTAAATTACTCGAGAAAGTTATACAGCCGTTCTCAGTTCTAGTATATTTTCTAGGTCGATGTAATGACGAGCGCAGACATTTTCTCATTCTGT